TATTAATGGAAGTACCTCAACTCAAAGTCAAATTAAGTAACCCTTTGATTAGAAGCTGTTTTGGAATGTGCACAGTTCTGATTTCCCCTTCAATGGAATGGATAATTGAGAACTGTCTGGATAAATAACAGAGGAAGCATTAAAAGCTAATTTCATTGTTGGAACATACAGCACAATAATGGGCTATGATAATAGGCTACCATAAAACAATTACTGGAAACCATAGCACATTTTGAAGTACTCTTATCTAAAATATGTAAGTAGTTCATTCAATAACAAGGTAAAAAAGAGAATATGAAATTTGTTATTTAAATAGAGAATTACCTAGATGAAAATAGCAGCTCAAACATTATGACAATTCTCTGTACATTGCAGGGAAACTATAACTATAGACTTCAACCTTACCAATAGCCTATAGCAACCTTTTTGAACATAGAATGTAATATACATTTTAGTTCTGACTGTACTCGCCATAGGGAAGGGGAAATTCTACCCTAATTAAAAAAAGGAATGAAAAGTAAATTTTAACATTGTTTTCTGCTCTTTTAAGTTTCTTGTTGAAAATGAAATGAGCTGAGATACAAAAGTAATAATCAAATAAATATTAGTTGATCACCCACCACCACTCCCAAGAAAACATTCTTTTGTGTTCAAGTAAGTTAGCTCATTCTATTCTTCATATGTCACAGACATTTATAGTTAAGGTAAACGGGATGAGCCTTTGTGAAAACTTAACAATGAAGAATAAAACTAGCACTGTGAGAGGAATTACATTTTAAGTTTCTATGTGTACACAGAGGCACAGAGGTACTCTTTTATCATAGCTGCACCTATGTGGTTCCCAGCATATTTAGGATATAAATTGCATGTGTCTACTTGAGTTAATAGCTTCAGGGAGCTAGAACTCTTTGATGGTGTTTTGTGCTAAATAAATGGCCAGAACAGAAAGAGGTGTGTTTGGAAATATAAGACACGGTGATTATAAAGCATTTAAAATACTATCTGACAATGTGCTGCCATCTTACACCAAGTAATGATGACAGCTAACAGAGCGTTCACTTTTACAAAGGCTCCTGTTAGTGGCCTGCAAACTTGAGAGAAGAAACATACAGAGAAAAAAATAGGAAAACACATTGGCCTTCTTTTAATAAAGTGGTCAAAGTAATAATTAAGTGGAATAAATGAAAAGATGTTGTTCTAGTAACGATATGATACAATTAACAATATGTTAATTAATGTGGTATGTTTTACTGGAAAAATTCAAAATGCAGAGCCAGAGCATTACTAATCTCACCATAATCTGAATCATGCTTTACACAGAAAGAAAATTTTACAGATGGGAGTAAAAAGGAGCAGAAAAACAACTCTCACCAGAAGACTATAGCTTTCTTACATGGCCGGGCTAAAAGCTCAACACATGAGTATTGACTAAAGTTTTAAGAGTTTCCGATGACACTTAAGACTATTAAAGTCTGTTTTTATTAATTTTCTCATTTTTAATAAGTAAAGAGTGGGCCTGTATGCTCATCCAATTTCTATTACAAAAAACACGTGAGTGTGAATTTTCTAAAAAGTCAGAAAAAGTTTGGAATTCTGGTAAGGCAAAATATTTTGAATTTCTGTATGTTTTAAAACAAAAGAAATGTATTAGTTTCTATTTCCTTCTATATTGCATCTGCAACCATGGCGCAAATCAATATAAATAACTTAACCATCACTTACATCTCATCCCAGGAGCAATACATGCAATTTAATTAAAGTCAGGCTTGCAGGACAGATGGGTTACATCAACAGTTTTCTGAGACCTAAAAATATTTCCCACTTGTGGGGGTCTTTTTTACTAAGAGAGTGGAAAACTAATTCCCTTCTCTTACTTTTTTTTCAAATAAACAGTCTTATTCAGGACTGAAAGTATAAAGCACAGACATTATAATGCATTTGTAAAAATAAAGAAAATAGAGAATTAGCAACTGGAGTCCATTGATCTTTGTCCAGTAATACAATTCATGTGAATTTTGTCTAGACTGAGACCGTTAGAAAAATACTATTAGGAAATAATCCTACCCACCAGATCAGCTTTTTACCTGAAGACCTTAGAAAGAAAGAGTTTTGAGCTATAAGAGGCCTCAGAGACTAGATCCTTAGCCCCCCTTGTATTCTACGCAGGAGAAAACTGAAGGCTCCCAATGGCTCAGGGACTTGAGCAAGCACCTGAAGGCAGATGGTCCTGAGCCAAGCCTAGAAAACTAGTTCCTGTAAATAATGTCCCATTAAATTATAAACCGTCGTTGGATTCAATAAATCATCCAAGAAAAGAACAGTATATATTGGCTACTAAACCGTCCGCAGTTTTTAAATTAATAAATTTTAATAGTCTCTCATTAGTAGTCTGAAAGGACAATATTTGCATTGGTGCTTTTCCCAAGGCCTGTTGAGATACACTGGTACGTTCCGAACATAATGCCCCGCTGAAAAGCCTTCTGTGTGCTTGTGTCTGGGAAGGAACCTTCTATCAGTGAGCAATTATGAAAAACTCCTAGAGCAGGGCACACACGTGACTCAAGCAAAGAAACAGTTAACTGCAATGCCCCACCCCCCAACCCCCTTGTAAATAATCAAGGAAAGCCTTTTTCTAAAGCAATACAAAATGTCACCACAGGCTGACGCTCTTTCTACAAGAATAATGAGATTCCTGCTATCTCGGATGCTGAGCACACACTCCACTGCCTTTATCTCCCAATTCAGTTTTCCTGGTTCGTCTATATTATTCCTCTGCCTTCAAAACAAGTAACACGGCATGCCTAAAATGCACAAATGACCATGTAGCCACTGCAGGCCAAAAGACCCGGCGGAGCAGTTTCACAAACTCGAATTTTTGTTTTACAGTCCTGGGCACACAATATCAAAACCGCTCGTGAAATGAAGGCGCGGCGGGCAGGGGCATGGGTTGGCCCCTCCAACCCTCCGGCCCAGCCGGCCCTCCGCCCGCACCCCCGCCGGACTCCGCTAGGCACGGCGTTCCGAGAGGCGCATTTGCTGCCCAGGACTCCTTTAGTGTCATTTTTCTTTTTAAAACACAGTGACTCGCACCGAGGGTTTCGCGCCATGCCAGCCCGATGATTCAGGGAAACCACGAATCGGAAGATCTGCCGCATCCGATCCCTAGATCAGCAGAGACTGGTGGCGGGGCGAGGGGATTAGGCTGGCCAAGAACGCAGCTCTGTCCCCTCTGGTTACACCAACCTGCGGCGCCAAAAGAACCGCAAAGAAGGAGGTCTGAAAGAGGAACCTCGAAGTGTGTGGAAAAACCTGTTCTCTGACGTGGCCCAACTGAAGATAAATTCCACTGTGACCGCGGGAAAAACGCAGCTGGGCGGTGTGGTCACGGGGGTAGAGTTTTTTTTTGAGATTACAGTCTCAAAGTGGCGAAAGGGTTAACTGAAAACCAACTATGTGTGTGGTTGTTTGTATTTTACAGACCTACACCACCTTCACCCTCCTTTCGTGCTCTCCCCTTGGCTACAGAGCGCCTTTCTTTTCTTATTGGACGGAGGAATCGTGAGAGAGTGAGATCCTCCCTGTGCTAGACCCAGGGGGTTTCACCTTCTCACCTCCCCGGGGTTCTGACCCTACCCCACCTGTTTTAAATCCTGTTGAACCGTTTTCACAGTCCCCGCCCCAGAGCCTGAGACTTGTCACCGACACTGACGCCTTTTCCCAGCCTCAGAAACAGCAGGTGAGCTCATTACCTCACCCCGAAATGGAACTTTAATAAAGAGATCTAGAGAGGGCCCTGCACCCCACCCCAACAGCGGCGGCGGCGGCAGCAACTCACAAACACTTGTGATCTCTCCCTCGGACTCCCACCCCCCAATCCCACTTTCTCCCTTTTCCTGGGAGCGTTTCAAAGGCTTTCAAACCTCTCCGGAGGCCTCAGCTTTAAGGGGTGTGCTGGAATAAAAGATGCGAAAAAGAAGTGAGTTTCTTCATGGAAAAAGCTAACGAAAGGGGTAAGTACAAACAGGCCGAAATAACAGGAAGTAGGAGTTTAACTGGCAACTGTCAATGAAGGGATAGAAATCAAAACCTCAAAGCGAAACATCCAGCAAATCTCACCGAGGGCGAGGAAACGAACCTGCCGCTCTGTCAAGTGACTGAGCGCGCAGCATGACCAACTCCTGTCGCCTGCCTAGCGGGCCTGAGAATACCAGGGCCAGGAGACGACCCCAGGGTGCGGAAAGGGATTCCCCTGTGAGATATTTTAGCAGTTGGGAATTTTTCCCTTTTTTCTTCTAGGGCTCAGTACGGAACTGAGAACTAACGCTTCGTCGCAGATCCTGGAAATCTAAAAACCCGTCACCAAGGTCTCCTGGTCGGCCACCAATTTCAGTTCCGGCTGTTACTTGTCTGCTACCCCTACACTCAAAACCCACCCTGATAATGGTGGGTGGTGATATGCCCCCAATTTAAGCATTAGGAGGTATTTTAAAGGGGGTGATTAAAGTCTGTCTCCTCTACTCCTCCCCTCTCTTGCTCATATCATACCACCGGAAAGTTACAGGGGATTTATCATGAAAAAGTGTGGGCAGTACTTTCATCAAGAGCTAAGTGAAAGGAAAACCGCTTGGGGCTCAGTGACGTGGACTTTGACACCCAGAGACGGGAGGAATTGTCAGAGGGAGAGACTTTGCCTTCAGCGTGAGAGCCACAGGGCCCAGGGGAGAGGGTCGAACTAATCTTGCCCGCTGGCCCCGGCAATCCCCACAAAGTTCCCAGAGATTTGCCCAGTGCCCCTGCTTGCTGCCCAAACTTGAGCCAATCAGCCAAACCCAAACGCGCGGCACAGGTGACCGAGCCCGGGGCCAGCTCTGCGCCCGGACGGCGGTCCCTTTACCTCCCCCACGCGCTGGAGCGCACAGCAGCGAGGGTGAGAGGCCGGGCTGCTGACCCAGGAAACTGCTTCAGACCCACGTCAGGGCTGCCCTCAGGCCCTCGCTCACCTGGTCTGAGGATGGCTGCAGAGATCAAAAGGCAGAAGAGCAGACGGCAGGAGGGGGCCGCTGTGGATTCCATATTCCTCCTTCTGCTGGTCCACTGACAGAGTCCAGGCTGCAGGAGGAGGCGTCGTCCCAGGCCCCGCGGTGCCCGCGCGCTGGCGGGTCCCGACGCAGGGGGCAGCGCCTTTTCCCAGGCACACCGTCCCCTGGGCTGTGGTGCTGCACCTTCGGGTCTCTGCTGCACACAACTTTACACCACGCAATGTCCCCAACTCCTCCTCCCTCCGCCTCAACCCTCCTTCCGTCCCTTTGGCTGCTCCTTCAGGGACTGGAGACCCTCTTTCCAGGAGACACTTGAGTAATTCAGAAATGTGTACGTGCTTCTTTTTGGCTGGTATCTTCTTTTAGTTGCTTTATCTTGGGATAATAATAATACTGGTAGTGGCAGTGTGGATGAAAAGCCCGATGCTAGGAAGGAATCGTCAGGGATGCGACGGGGGGTGGCGGGTCTCCTCAGGTGGCAGCGGTGGTAGCAGCGACAACGGCGGCAGCGGTCTCCGGGCTGCTCTGAGTGGAGGGACTGGAAGGCGTGTGTAGGCTGCCTCTCTCCTCCTCCCTCCCGCCTCCTCTCCCCCTCCCGCGTCCTCCCTCCTCCAGTCTCCTCCCCGCTTCCCTGGACGCTGTGCGGAGCAGGTGGTTGGAACGCGGATCCGCAGCCTAGAGGCGCTGCAGGACCGAGTCCGAGACTGAGCCCAGCCCCGGGATGGGGGAGAACCCGGAGCCCTGGCTCTGGGGACCGAGTGGGCGGGGCTTCTCGGGCTCCGCCCCACGGCCACGCCTCCAGGAAGGAGCAGACCGCCGAGCGGCGCGCGCCTGGGCGGGCCCTCGGGACTAACTCTCCTGTGGGTGCTGGTGCTGTCGGCCTCCTGATGTGGCCTCTCCCTTCTAGCTGCCCACCCCGCCTCGCTAAGGTTGGGAAATCCAGCCTGGCCTCTTTTTGCCCCCGTACGCCGGTCCTACTGGCTCATTCCTCGTGGAATTTTCTCCGCTGTGATGTTGCAGCGTCCCTGTCTGGTACAGAGAGTTGTAGGGCAGTAGGGGGATGAGGGTGGGGAGCGCCCCTTGAGTCCCTGGGCGGGGGTGAAGGCAGCACGAAGGGGCAGGAGGTGGTGGTGAAGGTGGAAACCCGCCCACTGGGAATTAACAGCGGCCGCTACTGGTTGGCTGGCGGGGGCGACCCACCCCTGGACTGAGGACTCCCTCACTTTTAACGCCCCTCACCCCCGCGGCTGACACCTCGCGAACGCAGACCGTCTAATCGACGGTCCAGTACTAAGCAGAAGATATTTGCGTTTTCTCGGGGAGATTAAATCAGGAATTTCTAGACCTTACTTCGTCATATGGATTTTCCCAATCTCTACAAAAGCCAGAGCGCGTGTCACTTTTTTTTTTATTTTGAGTTATGTGACGGTTTTAAGTTACAAACTGAAAATCCTCAAGTTACTCAGATTAAAAGCCAAGCTCGTCCTGGTCTGTTCCAGAAATCCAGGCACCCCAGCAGAAGGATAGATTTCTCAGGCAATTTCTGGAGATTGAATCACTTCCCAGGCGGAACATCGGGAAACTGTGTCGCTTTCGGATCAGGCAGAGAGCATGAAGGAATATTTTCCTTTAGAACACCGGGGTGGAGCTGTCGGAGCCCTAAGTGGCTCTAAATCAGGGATGCAGGATCACAACTCTCATCCCCAAAGCATAATAAAATCTTGGTTCCTGAACCACTTGGCTAGGACATGAAATAGCCTTTCGTGCATCACTGGGTTACCGTAGCGTGAGACTGGTTTGCAGCAGAGAAATCCACATAGTAGCCATCAGGTTCTGCATTTTCATCAGAAGGCGAAGAGTCACAGCCACATTGAAGATTCGCTGCACAAATGCGTGCACACTCACACAGATTTTAAAATTCTTTCTCTTTTCATGCTATTAACCTCAGTCTTCAGCTGTGATTTTTCTCAAAAGCCTGCCTGTCTCGTTCTTCGGGTTTTCTTTATATTAACAGTATTCTAGAGTACAGCTCTTATACTATATATTTTTTCCTTTGAAAGTAAGTAATTTCTCCCACTTCGCTTTAACATTAACATTTCATTTACATCTTATGAATCTTCAGAAAGGCGATTGCTAGGAGGCAAATGCCTTTTAACTCTATATTCCATGAGATAAATTTGGCTGAACTAGCATTCCCACAGGATTCTGTAGAATTTTTTTAGGGAATTGTTTTTCTTTCAACTGCACCTCTGAGGGGCATATGTTAGAACAAGTAACGATATATTTAACCTAGATACTTACCCTCTCTATTGGACCTCCTCTATTTGGGGGTGGGAGTTCATACAGTATAATTGTTTTTTTAAAAAGTCTATTTGCAAAAAACAGAGTGTCTCGTTTGGGTCCAATACTATATGTTCTTGGTCAACTCAACCTCAGTAAGGCTCAGTGTCTTTGTAAAAAGTTGTAACAATAGTGCCGGTCTCATGGGATTGCTGTGAGGATCAAATGAGATCACACAGATAACTGACCAAGTACAGTAGAAGGAGCTTGAGCTTTGAGCACAGACGGAACCTTGTTAGAATCCCTGCTTTGCACTCAGGGAGTGACCTTGAACAAAAGTCAGTCTTTCATAATCAAAGTGTAATGACAGAACAAAAGTCAGTCTTTCATAATCAAAGTGTAATGACATGTTAGATACCACCTTCAAGAGGATCAAACTATATAAGGTATTACGTGTGTGTGTATGTATATATATATATATATGATATTAAACACATGGAATTCTGGGAGTAATTAAACATATGTGTCCATATTATACTCATACATAGTTAGATACATGTATGTGTGAATGTAGAATATACATTTTAATGGATAGTCAGTTGCTTGCAGAATTCCTTTTAGAGATAAATGTATCCTAGTTTAAGAAAATGCCTTGATGAGCCACTTGGAATATTAACTCCAAAGGTCATACATAACTAAGGCCGCAGAAACAATGGGAAAACTGCTCTGCATGCAACAAATTAATAAAAGTTTGGAAATGGCCAATGGCTTTTAAATATATTTTAATTAGTTAATTGGCAACATTTATTGGACACTTACTATGTATGTTAGGTTATTTTAAGAAATTTGTATGAATTAATGGATAAACCCCAATCTTCCCTTTTAAAAAATATTATGAGGCAGGTGCTCATGAAGAAGCTGAAGCCCAGACATTTGAAATGATATTCCTAAGGTTACACAATGGGTCATAGCAAGGGTAAAGCCAGGATTCTCCTTCAGGCACTCTGATTCTAGAACTGTATTCATATTGTGTGTGTGTGTGTATATCTATATATATGTGTGTATGTGTGTGTGTGTGTACATATATACATATACACATATACATGAATAAAATAATATGCTTATGGCTTTTGAGGTGGGGGGAGTGGATTTAAACATAAATTCCCTCATCCTTCCAAAACTATTAAAGTCTTCTACCTTCAAACATATTTTCCTCGAGGAAATTAACTACTAAGGCAGCACACCCTATGTGTATGGGCTGGTATCTTATGTAAGAAGACAAGACCATTTCTATAAGTGGAAGAATATAGCATAAGCAAGAGCTCAGAGTTAGAAATAAACATGAGAATGTGTGTGTGAGAGAGAGAATGGAAGCTCCAAGAGAATTTGTCTTTCCAAATCTAGGAGATGGGGATGGAAGTATACTCACTTACTTAATTCGCAAGAGGAAGAGTGTCTCCAGGTGCCTTTGGATTGCAATTGCTTTTTCTTACAATTGACAATACTTAGTTTTCCAGTGGTATTTACCAGACAGTTTAGTCACACATCAGAGCAGCATGATGGGTACATCTTATTGCGAGAAGTAAAATGACTAATGTTCAGCCAAGAAAAAACTCGTTTCATGCTACCTAGAACATGAGAGAAGTTTGCATTTTAAGCATAAAAGAATGAGTCATCAGTCAGGACAGTATGCTTAAAGCAGTGACACAGGACAGAAGGCAGAACTTAGGGTCTGCTGAGGTCAGAACTTAGGATCCTGGAGTCTCCAGCTAGAAGCCGGAGCTCCTGAAGGCTTCACTCTAAATTAAAATATTAATCCTAATAGTATGGGACAACATAGCTAGGATAAGCATATACACATTTGAGGAATAAAGATGTTTCTAAAAAAATTTCCACTATAGATGAAATTTAACCAAGGGTGGTTTTGAAAGCTGGTAACATCTTCCTTACCGCTATATAGCACGGTGTTTTGTGTGCCTTCGTACTTTTTGAATAAAGCTTTATGACACTTTAGAGCATGCAACAAATTTGATCGATGTTTTTCCTTTTCCTCCCTACCTCCATGATGAATACACATGTCTAGTCATACTTAATAGAATAGGCACTTCAAATAATTATGAATGACTAATAATAAGTGATAAAAATGTTCTTCTTTGTATAGAATGCAGACCCTCAAACAGCCCATAAACTTACTTGTTAGTGGTAAAAGGAGATGAAAGGGGTTTCCATTGGGCATTCAGGGATTGGTCTGGACTGACTAAGCTTTAGGAAAGGCCAAGAGAATGAGTCAAGTCCCAGCCATCAAAGTGACAACTTTGAAACATGAAATGAGGGACAGTCTGCAGAAGTAAGAGAGTGGTAAAAAATTAATTGCTACCAGTGAGAATAAAACAAAAAGGCCCACGCTAGAACAAAATCCTAATTAGCAGAGGTTCTAAGTAACCAGACCAAGACCTGTATTAAACTACTAATGACAAAGATTGAAATAGAGGGTTAAGTGGGATTTACAGTAAGTTTAGGAGGAAATATGATTTTAAAGAGGTACCGAGATTTCATATGTGTAAGGCAAAATTCTGTTTAATTCCTGAATCTCAAGGTGTTTTAAGTAAATGATTTCTAAAATCAATCTAGATATGTACTGGATATAGGTATCTGTGTTCTGAAGAGATACTCCATTGAATTTTATTGTTTAATATTCATTGTTAATAGGAATATCTGTCACATGTCATGAAATTAATAAAATTCTGCAACTCACATCCTCAATAATGCTAGCTAATAAAGATACATCACTGATGTTCTGGAGGATAAAAACTTTCAAAGTCTATGGTAAATATTACGTTCTTATTTCAGACTGCAGAGTGTTCACTGTCTGGGTACAAAACGAAATGCATAGCTATTTCAGTAGAACTAGAAATCCACTTAGTCATTTTCCTTCCTGTCTCAGACATGAGGAATGGAACAAGAATCTAGCTAAGCTATTTGACTACAAAACTTATACTATATAAAATGGATGGCAAAACCTCATAATTCATTAATGATTTCAGTAGGAACATACAGTTTAGTAAAAAAGTCTAACATCCTGTGTTTACCCTATAACTTGAGAATATCTCATCAAGGGTTTTTAACTTTCAACTAAAATAAGTAGTTCTTTTAGTTTTGCATAAGGAGAAAATGACTCAGAGACTAGGTGTTCAAATGTTTTTTTTTTTTTTTTTTTTTTTTTGAGACAGAGCCTCAAGCTGTCCCCCTGGGTAGAGTGCCGTGGCATTACAGCTCACAGCAACCTCCAACTCCTGGGCTCAAGCGAGTCTC